TAAATGAAATTTAGCAGAAATCAAGACATCAATACAGGCTTCGTTTGGGAGGAAAGGCTGAGGAGAGCCATAAAAACTGTTAGAATCCACCTGGGATGGCAGGTGGACTTTTGCATTATCTGACATGGACAGAGCACCCCACCTGTATCCACTCCTTGTTCAGATCAGAGCTAGAACTAGCTTTGCAAAATCTGGCTTAGAAATTACCCTGCTTAAAATCTGTGATGCACATCCATTCCTGTGCAAATGGGGCCTGAGTGGCATGGAGTTACTAAAGCCATGAGATAGAAGGTCACGCTTCACAAGAAAACTGGAGAGAGGGAAGCTTTTTGAAAGTAACTGACTCAGAGACTGGCAGGGCATCCGCCTGCCCATGGTGAGTGACTGCTTTTCATCACTTGTGGGTTTGGGGTTTTTCCCCTTTTTGCTTCTTAATCTGTCAGTACCTCAACCAGCAGTGTTTTTTTCCCTCCACTTTTGCCCTTCACTTCTTTCCCCATTCTCCTGAGAGGAGAGTGTGCGAGCAGCTAGTGGGGGGCTTACCTGCCAGCCAGGGTCAACTCCCACACCGTGACAGACAAGTGCCACTGAAATTGATGCAGAACAGTCTGGAGAACATCTGAGCCAAAGCACTAGCAAGGGGATGAATGATAAAAAAGTCTTAAAAGTAATTTCTTCATGAACATTTATTTGAAACATAAGTACTACAGTCCTTAAAAAATGAGAAACTTGAAGAGTTTTCAAAATGAAATAAGAAATGTTCTGTTGTAGAGTGTCCAGCCTTGTTGTTGAATTAGATCTTTCTTCTTCAGGAAAGATGCAAAACGTGTATCCTGCTGGTCCGTACATGTGCAGATCTCTGTGTGAATAATACATCCACAGGGTCTTGTTTTGCTCATACGTGAAACCACTGTAACTGCTGGCATATCTGGAAACAGACTGGTTGGCAACTCTTGTCCAGGTGCCAGCGTAGTCGCCTTTCTCTGGGTTATCGCTGCCATACTTGTGAAGACAGTGGCTTTTCCTGATCACAGAGTTATTTAGAAGGCTCTGAGGATGGAAACATTTTTTCTCAGTCCCTTTAGCCCGCACCAGCCTCATTCGGGGCAAGCCGATGATTTTGGACCAGCTCTCGGGAAGAAAGGCTGGCTGAATGTCATTGTTGATGGGAGGCAAGAACACGTCTTTCACCCACACGTAGATATCTTCTTGCTTGTCTCTACCCGAGAGTTGCAGAGAGAATTGGTGATGGGTGAGCTGGTCATAGCTGAAACTGCTGTCTTTCTCAGCAGAATAGGCAAAATTTAATAGCAGTGTTAAAAAGACAAGGTGACTGATGAAGCTGTTGGTGAAAATAAATGCCTTGACTTGATTTTTCACCCTTTTCAGCATGTTTGCAATCTCACCAGCTTCCAAAGCCTTGTACTGCTTGTACAAGGCTTTGACTGACTTCAGCGATTTCATATGCACCTCTCTCGTCTCATCTGTACTCATTGTTTCGCCAGCCAACGTAAACTCACAACACTTGTCCTGAGTTAACCATGGGATGTCTTCACAGTGTTTTGGGCAAATCGTCCTCAGTGCTGAGAAAAAAATGATTTTTAGGATTGGAAGGAGAAACACGCTCTCAATAAAGGAGGCTGCAGATGCTCTAAGCCACTCCAGTGAAGTCTGACGGCCGTAAGACAGACCATATAGCACAATGAAAAATGATGATAGCCCAGTTACAGCTGTAACGAGTGCCCATGAGATGTAGACAAACCACCAAGGGAAAGCAATGGGCGTTGTCTTGCAGAGGAGCGTAGAGTCAGTTCCTGGTGGTTTCCTTTCTTCCTGAGAGTTGCTACCTGCTTTTGTATAGTTCTCACTAAAATTGTAATGTAATGGTGGCCTTCTCTGGCAGGCTTCAGCTGCTGGAGGGGAATTTGCAGTTATCACCTGCTCTTCCGTTCCAATTACATTTGCATCTCTTTCAGGAACAGTGCAATTCTTCCAGTTTTGGGGAGTTTCCTTGCTTCCTGTCCTCTTGGAACGTGGTGGGCTCTGTGCGTTGCTGGCACCAGGAAGGTTCTCCAAGGGACCGATGTTCCTCAATTGTGCTGAGTGGAACAATTTTTGCAAGCACTCCTTCCAGTTCTTAAGATTTCCAGACAGGAAGAGCGAGTTTCTCTTTGGGTCCTGCTGAACCACGCCTTGAAGAGGAGGTTCCTTCTTGGAATATGTAAAAAAGGCAGTTATCATCATTTCCACAGGTATGGTAAGCAAAGCAAATTCGATTTGTAGTGTTACTGCTCTCAAATACCTCAAGTAGACTTGAGGTTCTTCAGTCTTTGTAGTGTTAGAGAGCATGATGTCAACAAGCAGGTACAAGAACAGCATTGCAAAACACAAAGACGACCTTTGGAACCTGCTGAACGTGCCAGTGAGAACGGGAGCAAAAATGGAGAGCCACAGATGTTCCTCTGTCAGGCTGTTGGCAAGCTTCATCAAAAAGTAGTCGATTCTGGGCAGCGGTGTCTTGGGGTTTGTCACGGAAAATGTCCTTTCTGTTAAGGAACCACCCTTGTCGAGTGCAAGCCATTTCCTGCACATAAAGAACCAGGTCTTCCTAGTGGACATATTCTCAACTTTGGCTCTGCTTAAGAACCAGCTTGGAGATGGGCCCTTGTTATTGTGCCAGACCCTGAGGGAACAAACATCTCCCAAGTCTTCCTTAGCGGTTAACAGAAAGCAGTCCATGCTCCCTTTTTGGAACGATGGAAAACGTGGCTGCCGCAAACAGTGGACGTCACTCATGCCATTCTGGCCGATGAGCTGAAGAAAGACATCGGCTGTGGTTCCAGCTCCCCAGCGGCTGCCTGTGTATAAAGTGACCAAATAGCTCGCTTTGTCAAAGGGGTTGTTGTCCGCCAGAACTAGAATCTTGTTTTTGCTGTGGCTTTCAGCCTTGTCCTTTCTCATGGCCCAGAGGGACAAAAGAAAGTAGATGGCAAAAATAAAGAGCACTGCTAAGAGCATCACTGGGTTTTCAGGGACGTCTGCCATCAGGGCTTTTCCCCAGTCTACTGAGTTGGGGATAACAACTGCTTTGGCTGCCAGGAACCTGATGTCAAACGTGGATGCGTTTGATTCAGCGTGGACTGACAGGCTTCTGAGATTCCGCTTCATGCTGCAGACACCGTGTATCTTCTGCCAGTTGGCCATGGAGCCAAGCCTGCACGTGTCTTCTCTCCACAGACTTCGAATCCCTTCCAGAAATGAGTACTGGTCACTAGAAACGTATATGGTCACCAGTGGCTGGCTTCGATACCTTGTGACAGCGGGTGTTGGCAAGACAACAGAGGTGTTCTGAGTGCTGGTTCCTATTCCTTGAGCTGCGGCTGTCAGCAGTGACTCTGGGAGACACATAATATAGAACACCTTGATGTTAAAGTCGGCGCTGGCTGTCTCAGTTTTGCTTGCAACCATCGACATATTGTGAGAAGCAGCAAACGACGCTATGGGATGAGCATCAGTCAGGAGGTGGATGTATATGCTCTTGATGTTTCTGTCGACTTCAAAAGTAGATCCTCCACTCGTGCAAGCTTGTGTCACACTGCTTTCACAAAATGCACTGGCCGGATGACATGTCTCTCCCAAGCTGACTTTGGTGTTCCCGTAGTCTCACACGTCTTCAGTGCAGAACCAAGGAAACGTGATTCCCTTTGGTCCTTCCCATGAATCCAAACTGCAGGATGCAGAGCCACTGCGAATGCAATTATTAAGGCGGAGGCAGAGAGAGGAAGGCCCTGAGCCTTGAGCCCTGCAGCAGAGCAGCAGCAGGAGAATGTGGAGAGCTGCCATTGTAGTGTGCATGCAGGACAACTGAGCTGAGGGATCACAGGGGCTGAGATTACAAGGGCTCATACATAGCAACCCACCCCCCCGAGTGCATTATGATGTCGACAGTTGGGTAGTTACCGTTTGGAACCAGGACCTGCGCTTCACCCTCCTCCCTGGCACAACTGGTAAGAAAGGTTCTTCATGGTAGGAACAGCAGATCGCCTGGGGGTATACACAATGCCACAAGAAACAAGTATCTGGGGGCTGGTAACCTCCATGAAGCACATCTGTTGGCAGCACCAAGGCCCACCTCGGTGACGTGGGGGCTCAGGATGGTTAGAGACCCTTGCCCACAACTCACGGAACATGCGTGGTGAAATAAATCTACACTGTGTCTTTAACAGATGAGAGAATGTAGGAGTCCATGAATGTCGATTGCTGACCAATCGCTGCAAAAATGGGGGTTTACTGCCTTGCAACCTGTGTGTATAAACATAAGGAAGAAGCCCACATTGCATCGGGTGTACTTGCTTTGTGGAAATGCACCACTGAGCACCCTGCACAGAATAAAGCGTCTCCTCTCTAAATAGACTTGGAGTGTGCCTCAAGAGCTCCCTTCCAAACAGTCAACATTCCCAGTTGACTTGGACAGTCTGCCCTTACTTACAGGGGGTTTCAGGGTGACCCGTGTGCAGGTGCAGTTTTACAAGACAGAAGTCTTGTAAAGACCCCCAGGCCCTGGAACAGGATTTTACGGTCCACAGTTGATGCCTTCCAAAGGGACATCCTAACAAAGTCATCTGCATATAAATGCAATGCAGTATTGTGAAGCTCTATTTTTAATTGCCGGCTGGCACCCTGCTAACTCGTCCCGTCTTTTCCTATCCCTTATGCTCTGAGTGGGAGGGATTTATCACCATTTTCAGATGTCAGGCCACTTCTGCTCTTCTGGTAGCCTGTGCTCAGCCAGAGGGGAGGTCTGTTTCGGCGGCTATAACCTACACGAAACACATCCGTCAGCAGCACCCCGGCCAGGCCCCCCAGGACACGGGTGCTCGGGATAAGCCGCTGCCAGCGGGCCGAGTGGCGTCCTGCCCTCCCCTCTGCCGCTCCAGGCCCAGCCCCGCCTCCACCTCCTTCCGTGTAAGAGGCGCGGAGCTACCGGGACCTGACTGCAGGTTCATGGCGCCGCTGAGGGACTGCAAGGTGAGGGCACTTCTGAGGGGAGCGGCACGGAAGCCGCTCGGCCGCCCGACAGGGCCTTGCCACCGAGGCCGCTCTGCCCGTGGCCCCTGCCGGGGTGCGCCCTTGTGGCGGGCGGTGTCCTTACGGGTGGGCCTTGGAGGGGTCCCGGCCCGCCCGAGAGCCGGGCGGAGAGGGGACGGAATGGCGGGAGAGCCGCTGGGTCTGGGACGGGAGGGCAGCGAAGGCGGCCTGGGCTGGCAGGAAGGCGCGGAGAGACCCCCTTGCGTGGAGAGGCCTCTGCTGGAGAGAGCCCGTCAGCTTCAACCCGCGGAGCATGGCGCTCGGGTGGATTCAGGTGGCGTGAGGCTGCTGTTGGGATCTGAAAATGGGGACGAGGCACTGCAGCCTCATCTGCCACCGGGGAAGCAAACCCGTGGCTGAGCATCTCTGGGCCTTGTTCGTAGTGCACACCAGTCACACCTGCCCTTTCTGTGGGTCTCAAAAGTGAATCAGGCCACTCTAAATCGTCTTTGAGTCCAAGGGTTCAAAATCTGTCTGCAGGGGCTAGTTACTGATTAGTTATTTGAGTGCTTGCTTCCCGATGAAGTTCATGTTGTCTCTCCTTTTTTTGTTATTTTTTGTTTAATTAGGCAAGGGGAAGTAAACAGAAATCTTGAAGATCTTCTGACAGTCATAGGTTCATTAGCAGCAGAGCCCTGGAGAACTGCCACTCTGTAGAGGATGTGCTAACAGCAGCATGCAGAGAGCGTATTTCTCAGATGCAGCTGGGATTCTAGCAGAACAAAATACAAATAAACAGCAGATCTCATGACTAAACTCTTACAGTAAAGCAGGAGAAAGGGCAGGGCTTTGGTCTTGCCAAGAAGAAGTAAGGAGAGCCAAGGCCATGGCACTCTCCTGCAACAGGCATCACAGAGTCTTTTCTGGAATTAGAGAGAAAGGTTGTGGGAAATTTGTGTAATACAACTTAAAGGCAGCTTCTGTGGGAAGAGGAGCTGATAATGTTTTACAGTGTCTTCTGGCTGAGTTTTACCTACTTCCTTTCCCTCTGTTGTGGATTTCTTCAGTCACAGTCTGATATATGAGTACAGACAAGTCACAAGGCATGAGTGTACCAGGTAGTCTGGGCAGGACCACTTGTGTATGATGGAGAGGACAAGGGTTGCCAGCTGTTCTGTGCTCTTTGGTTCTTGGTGACAACAACTGATTAGGTTTGGAGCAGATACTTTCTTTTTCTGAGGAGTCAGCAGCTGTTACAGGGTGGTTCTTCCCTGCAGCTAATTGTCCTGGTATGCCGACAGGAAGAGCCTTGCTGCCATCCTCCTGTTGGCAGAGTGTGAGTCTTCCACTGAGGAATGAGTTATGTGGGCTGGAGGCTTGGCAGAGCAGAGGCTTGCTAGAGTGGGTAGAAGTAGCGTGTATGAGAGAAATGGTGTTGTTTTCACGTGCTGGGGATGGGGCTTTGCAATATTAAGGCTTTGTAATATTGGGGCTGGGGTTACGTTACTAAGGGAATGAAGGAAAGGGTTTGAAATACCATGACTTAAACCAGACACACTGTAGTTAAAGACAGCGTCATCTTTGGGCAACAGACACACTGTGGTTAAAAAGAATACTATCTTTGTACAACCTATGAACCTAAGCTGGTGTAAACTGGTTCTGTAGTTAAACAGTAAGTTGGGGGTATCGCATGTATGCCAGAGAGTTATAAAATCGAACCATAAAAGGAGATAAATAAGAGGAAGGTGTGTACGAAATTGAGTAAGGGGAGATGTAAACAGAGGTGGGACAGTTAGCACGTAAATGGATAGGCTGTAAACCTTGGAGTACCCAAGCAATGGGGAAACAAGGGAACTTGTGGACGGGATAGGAAATATAAAAGTTCTGCCTTTGCTGTGTGTGCCTACTTGCTAGGACACCCATTTTTGCAAAAATGCTAATAAATAGCTGCTTTACAGCTGTGTCTTCCCATAGCATGTACCTCAGCTAGATCAGCAGTGCCCTTAATCATGGGTGCAGGCCTTTTTTTTGCTAACCCTTTTTCTGCTGTTTTTTCTGATGATACAGAAACGTTTTCATTCCTAATAATTGTAACATTAAGAAATCTCAAAACCAGATGACATTTTCTACTTGGCAAGTACCTTAAGCTGTTGTGCAAAATGGGCTGTGGCAAAGAGCTGCTTCAAATGAAGCATCTTCAAATGGAGCATGACTGGTGATGAAAGTGGCTCCTGGCCTATCTTTTAGGGCACTGTGAAAGATAGCCTGTAAGTAGCAGGCCTGACTTTGCTATCCTCTTGATTTTTCTCTCTACACTGTTTCTGGATACAGCATGAATTGTAAAGAAAATCTGTAATTTTATTTCAGGTCTAATCTTTCAGGCTTGTAATTGGAACACTCAAGTGCTTGAGCTGCTGGAATGTGAGCCTTTAATCCAGTCACAGTGGGAAAGCTTTAGAATATATTAACAAAGATCTCATTGCCTAGGTACTTAAAATTTGTGAAAGTTGGGTCATTAGAACCAGGAATTATGTTAAAGTGTAAAATGAGATGAGCTGAATTTTTGCAGCATCTGCAAGGACTAATCTCCTGTTAGGAGGACTCTAAAATTGGTTTGCCTCGGGTCTTTTTTAATGTCTATCCTGTATGTTCTCTGTTCTGGAAAAAAAGTGATGCTGAAGTGATTGGGGCAGCTTCTCAAATGTGTGTATGCTTACACAGGAATGGATATGGTGTGCTGAATATAAATTTGTGCTTGAGAAACAGTTGTAGAGGTAATGATGGTTGCAGTATCAGAATACTGAATGATGAGTGATTACTGGAAATAAACCCAAACATATTAAAAATATCTGATAATAGATTGCTAAGGGAAGCACCTCAGCTTGTGAAATGACAGGCTTTGTGGCTGTGTGGCCATCCTGTGTAGGGGAGAAGGCCTGCAAACAACTGGAGTTTACATGCCTGTTTGCCTGAGTTACTTAATAGAGCAGTCATGGAGACAGTCATGAAACAGGGTGCTGCCAGCTCAGTTCCACCATTCTGGCTAATGAGCTGTTTTCGTTTTTCAGCAGCTAACCAGGAGATGTAGCACCTCAGTCAGTGTTGCATAGCTTATGAAGAAACTCTGCCCGATTTCTGTGGTTGGTGAAGCGCTGGCACAGGTTGCCTGGAGAAGCTGTGGCTGCCCTGTCCCTGGCAATGTTCAAGGCCAGGTTGGATGGGGCTTGGAGCAGCCTGGTCTAGTGGAAAGTGTCCCCGCCCATGGCAGGGTGTTGGAACTGGATGAGTTTTAAGGTCCCTTCCAACCCAAACCATTTTGTGCGACCCCTTTTTGTAAGGCTTCTGTACAAATCTGTGGCCCAAATTCTTTGTTCTTTACTCCAGCGACTTGGTGGATTTGCTCTGCCAAGCTGTTCGGCCTGCAAGATACCTGAAGTATTGATTTCAGTTCTAAAAGAACAGGGTTTTATTTTACCATGTCTCTACTTCACATTAGGTGTGTCTGCAGCAGGGGGACTAGCCAAAACTTGAGTTGTAATGAATTAAGAATGAGTCTCTCATAATGAGATGCGTAACCCATCAAGATCTATTATATGTTACAACTTTTTGTTGCTTTATTTCCACTGCTAACCCCACCTAATTGAATCCTTATATGTGACTACAACAAAATAAAAGTTTGTGTGTCTGCTCATGCTGTCCTTCCAGCTTTTATTTTTTTTTTTTTTAAAAAAGCATAGTTGACAAAAATACCGGTACATGATCGATTTGAAAACCTGTTGGAGTAGTTTGGAAAACAAGTATGCAAAATGAGTGTGTTTGTATCCGTTTGTTTTGCAGGCCTGGCAAGATGCTGGACTTGTCCTGTCCACTACTAGCAATGAAGCCTGTAAGCTATTTGATGCTGTGTTGGCACAGGTATGACCAAAAAGTTTAAGAAAATGTGTTTTGAAGGAATTTGTGCATGAAATAGTCTTCGCTGTAGTTCACCTTCAAATTTCTTATCAACTGTGAGAGCCTCAAAATCAGGCTGCCAGAGGATTTCAGCCATTAGCAGGCAGCAGAAAACCCTCCTGGCGCAGGTCTATGCCAGGTGCTGCCACTGTGGGGAAGGTCACAGCCAGCATGCTTGTGCTGCTTGATATTGGAGAATCAACCCATTAACATAAACCACATAGAAATCCAGGGTATTAGTTCTGCAGGTGGCCAAACTGTCTTGAAGAAAACTGGTTTTCTGGTTTGCTACTATGCTAACCCTATCGGAATGCAATGTTTGTCTTTTAGTCATTTGCATTGCTTGCTTTTGAATTTTAAGTGCCCAGGAGAAAGAAATGAAGAGCAATATCATTGGGCATTCCTTGACTGCCTCTCTCTGTGTCTCTTCCAGTATGCAACCTGGACCAATAATGAGAGCCTTGGAGGTATTGAGGGATGTCTCTCCAAGTTAAAAGCAGCAGATCCAAATTTTAGTGAGTATAACCTTTAATTCATAGCATACAAAGTGTTGGATAATACCTGGTGTCTTGGTGTGATGGCTTAGAGAATTCTGTAAGGTGTCTTCAGAATCTAGAGCAGGCTGGAATGGTTTTGTGTGTTTGGGCTTGTTTTCTTTTGCTTTCAATTTCAAGTCCTTTAAATGGCTTTCATGAAAAGCCTCTGAGAACTTTAGGCTTATAAGACTTTCTAGACCCCTGTGAGTACAAGTCAATCTTTTTCAAAATAAACAACTCTTATGTTTATGTAGGGATGAATGTAGTGCTGTACAGTTCAATTTGTAGTGTGTTGTTTTCCATAGCAATGGGACATGTGATTGCTAATGGTTTGGAGCTGATTGGTACTGGAAGTTCAGTGCGGCTCAACAAAGAGCTGGACAGTGCAATGAGAACGATGATGATGCTTTCAAAATCAAAGCCACTGACTGAGCGAGAGAAGCTTCATGTATCAGCATTGGACATGTTTGCAAGTGGGTAAGTTTGCTGTCATCTCATTTAAAGGACTCTGAAGAGTTTTAGCTACCACATGTGGAAGTGACAGTTGGCAGTAGTGTTGCCTCATATGCACTGACATCTAGCAAAGGGTGAGATGTCAGTGGTTGTCCTTCACTTTATCTCTCCATACTGTAAGCACCATGACTAGTTAGTGAGCAGCAGTGTAGAAGGGGAAGTGCTCTTTTGCCATTGCTTCATATCATTAAGCACTCCATGTTTTAAATGTCATAGATCCATCAGTGGAATAGTGGTTTAAGACTAGGATGCTAAATGTTTGACTACAGTAGGGTCCAATATAATAGAACACAGACTTGTATGCACAAAAGCAAAGCTACAGACTTTTCTTCCTCTGTTGTCTCCCTGTGTCAAAAACTATTTCCCCTGTAAAACAAGAAGACAGCAGAGGGTCAGAAGTGCTGTAAAGGCTCATTGTTATGTTCAGTATAATGAATTTACATGCACTTCAGAAAGTATGGGCTAACGCTTCGCTTTCATTATTTGTCAAGCAAACAGGTGAGCATGGATGTACCTCACATACTTCTTAACAAAGGTAAAGAGGAAGCTACTGAAACCCTGTTACTATGGATTTGTTTCTCAGTAGAAGGGAAGGTGTCTGTGAATGTGAAGTTAGGCTAATTGTGGTAGATCTCTCTCTGTAAAAGCTATTCAACCCTGTAGGAAAATTGTTAGATTTATGGTTTAAAGTTGTTTAATTTTCCTTGGGTGTTACAGTGACTTGTAACCCAAGGACACATCTTTCAGAAGAATTCCCAGAAGGTGCTCAGTGTAGATAGTGCCATTATTACTTTAAAAAGACTAAGAAATTCCATCAAAGAAAAAAATCCAAGCATAATTTGATGTTGAATTTTGTATTTTTCAGAATAGCATGAGTTCAGAACTAACAGTAGAGACATGTGTATGTGCCTTCTTGCAGCAATTAAAATACTTTTTTATTTCTAGACAGCTTCCAAAAGCTTGTGATTTATGGGAGCAGATTCTGCAGAGCCACCCAACTGACCTGCTAGCCCTCAAGTTTTCCCAGGACACTTACTTCTACCTGGGATATCAGATACAGATGCGAGATTCTGTTGCCCGGGTTTATCCTTTCTGGACACCTGATATTCCACTAAGTAGGTGGGTCATGCTTCATTTTGAAAACTGCTCTTTATCTGGTGTGCACATACTTTGTGCTTTCTAAGTTCAGACACATCTAAATAACAGGATCCGTTGGCAAACAGACATGTAGATAAAATCAAGGGCATATAAGTGAATTAGACCTGGCCACAGCTAGAACATCTTTCCTGTATCCCTGTTGACACTGTTGTTGCTGAGGCTCAATTAGTAAATTTTGCTGTCAAATACAGCACATGACATGTATCCCACAGGATAAAATCACATCCTCACTGAGGGCAGTGGCAGAACTCTTTTGAGCTTTTATGGGTACAATGTTTCACTTGGGGATCACATTGTGAGTGATGGAGCACAACAGTGGAAGGAAGAAAGGAATTGTAACTTGGAATACCCAAGTGTAGTTCTGAAATAAAACTTTTGTATATACTTTAACAGCTGGTGCAGCAAAGACAGAGGAAGGCAGAACTTTTTAAAATGTCTTTTAGTTCAGACCTGAACTTTTCAGTTTCCCAGAGTTAGTTGAAGATAATCCAAATCTATTGACAAGTGAATCATTAATAAAAAGTAATTTGGGATGATTTTTTTAGATTATTTTCTTAAAGTATAAAACCCTGGCAAGTACCCCTTATCCTGAAGCTTACAGGTATGTAGAGTTAGCGCATTAATTGATACATGGGCAAAAAATAAATCAACTTTTACTCATCTCGATCCATGGAATAAATGTTTTGCAACATACCCCACGTTTTAATAGTTCCTGTGTTGTAGGAGTTTGAAACCAAAATCCCAACAGATATTTTGAGAAGCACAAACATATCCTGTGGTATTTTGCAAGCTATGAATTTGCAAAAAAAGCATTTCAATATTTCTTAAAATGACTGCATCAGGTATGTGTGTAACAGCTTTTGAGATGCTCAGATAGCTCTGGTGACAGCACTGTCTCGCTTCCAGCCTCTTAATTGTGCATCTTGCAGCTGTTATGGAGATCAGCAGATTGTTTTGTGTGACTCTTAATTCCAGTTTATCCAGCTGTCAGAACACTGGTGATGTACATCTTGTTACTGTTTCCTGTGCTGGTGTCTCTGGGCCTTTCATTTCCCCTGAGAGCTGGCTAGTTGTTCTGTATTCTGCAAACTTAAACCCTCATTGTAACTTGCATGTTTTGAGTTAAATGCTATTTGAATATGGTTTTCAGTCCTAGATGAAATCTAGTTCTAAATGGATGGTGTGCTTTTTTTCCCCTTTTTACTTAGCTATGTGAAGGGCTTCTACTCTTTTGGACTCATGGAAACAAACTTCTTTGATCGTGCTGAAGAGCTTGCCCATGAGGTAAGCTGCCTGCTACTGGTGCTAAAAGGTTTCAGAATTCTTAAACATGGTCCCTGTCTCTAGGTGGTGGTTTGCACAAATGCACGACCTGACTCTCTCCGTCATCCCAGTTGTTAGTAGAAGTAGCAAAGAGATAAAGCTTAACATGGAAATGCTTACAGTTTCATGAGAGACTATTAGTAACTGTTCCTTAGAAAGGTTTGCACACCTTTGCTATACAATGGCAGTTTCATCTTGACTGTATTTCCTTCATTTGCTTATGAACATAGCTTGTCAGATGGTGTCAGAACACCACTTTAAAATCCATTTATTATCCTATCTGCTGTTTCCCCCCCAGTATAATTGACTGTATACTCCCGCTAAAGAATGTTGGATTGTTTTGATGTAATCTGCTTTTGACAGTCCATCCTCTTTGGGTTCCCCCTCCTTTATTCCCAGATAGTTGTTTCTGGATTATAGCACAGTTAACTTTACAGTGTTCCTGGGGATCACTATTGGCTGGTCTATTTCATTTTTATGAAGATAGTAATTATGCTTGACTTTCTCCAGTCCTCAGGATTATCCCTGTCCTCCAGGAATCTCAGTTATAATTAATTTCTCATGGGTGTTTTTGCAAAATGTCTGTTACATCAAGTTGCTGAAAGTGACAAAGACTAAATATTAACATTTAACATTTACCAGGTTAATAGTTAACCTTGCAAAATGCCTAAAACCTAGTGGGAGTTGTTAGAGCCAGAAAGAGGAGTTTTCTGAATGTTCAGAGCTGGCTGTGTTCTTGAAAAAGACACGGTTACCTGCAAGGCACTATGTAATGGAATATATTGTGCCTGTACACGCAGTTCTTTCACAGCTGGTATTGATGCATGTCTGTGAAATAAAATATCATTTGATAGTCTTCATCAAAGCCTGCATTTTAAAGTGTTCTGCAGGTGTTAATCTCTATGCCGTAGAAGCTGGGAAGTGAAGTCAACCAATAAACATTGTCTTCTGTCCAAACTAAATTTCCAGGCTGTGGTTAGTTGCAATGGTACCTGCAGCAAGTAAAAAGTAGTCCCTTATTTCTATATCAGCAGTGTTAAATACTGTTAAATAAAGTTCATAAGCTTTCCCTTTTTTCACTTGCAGGCTTTGGCTATAAATAAGACTGATGCATGGTCTGTTCATACTATAGCTCATGTAAATGAGATGAAAGCAGAGGTGAGGAAAGGGTTAGAATTCATGAAGGAAACGGAAACCAACTGGAAGGTAAATATTCTTGTAGCATCTCTGAAAAACCTCCTTTTAGGTCTCCTTTATCTCCTTCAGCCAAGTTCTCGATTCCTCTGCATGCAGTTCCTTCCTATCTGCAGACATGTTACAAGCAATGCAAAGTTTGCATATTAGAAGAAACCATCACTTGAGGAGCTGTTATTTATCTGTGCTACTTTTGAAGCAAGAGGCAGGAAAAAATGGCATACTGTGAGGGACACATAGCTTGGACCACTTTTAAGTCATCATTCCTACAACTACCAAGATTAGAAAAATGGTTTATTTTGCTTGCTTCTCCACCCCCTAAAAAAATCAGGTACCATTTAGTTTAATGTATCTTTCAACCCAAAATCAAAAGGGGCAAATTATCTTACCAGAGAGGACTTCTCTGCCAGTGAGGTTTACTATTAAATGGCAGTGGGTCTTCTCCCGAGCTGTTGTGGTAAGTTCTTATAGCCTGCTTGTATTTCTTTTAGTTATCTAGAAGCCTATTCTCCTGTAGCAGTTTAATCTCATTCAGAACTCAGAATCAGCAGCAGTAAAAAGGTTTTGATGTGTTTATGAGGTAATCACATGTTCTTGTTTGTATGACATTTGGAATGATAGTATGATATTAAACTTGATATTTTCAGGTTTCTGCCAAACACTTCACTACTTCAGTTGCTCAGGTTTGGTTTCTGATTTAATATTAAACAAGTAAAGATTAGCAGAATGTTTATCTTAGCCCCATAAAGCTCTGACATGTGCTGGGAATATTACAGATGTTACCATGAACATGAAGATGCTTTTTCCACTTGTAAGAACATTAAGTTTAGCTACAGCACTGGGAGAGAGAATGGGAGGAGGGCCATGAACATTTCTGGTATTTTAATTTTCACCAGAGGATTGTGAAATTATATGCCTGTTTGTCTATTCTCAATGCGCTCACAAAAATGAACCGCAATGACATTGTCTTGAAGTGCAGGCTGGGGAAGAGTATTGGAAGTTTTGGTGCCAGCTGAAAAGGACAGTGAAGAGTTGGTACAGTCCAGCAAATATTCACCTCATCTGATGAACTGCCAATGTGTTTGCTATCTAGTACAGCTTCTGTATTCTTTAGTAGAACACGGTTACAAAGTGATTCTCTATGTCTGAGATAGGTGTCTAGATGGGCAGGATGAATGGCCCTCTTAAGGTGGGTTTCTTTTTCCACTATTTAGGTTACTTTACACAAGACACCTAGGTTTTAGATGGGATTTTTTTTTTGCCTAAGGAAAAAAAAAAGTTGCAAAAGAGTGAATTCTGGGGCATCCAAGTTAAATTGTTCTCTGGAAAATGATGTGGGGGAAACCTTGCTTTTGAGGTGTCTGCCTGAATAGCTGCAAGAGCAAACATACCAAATGAGATGGTGTCTTGGCCAGCCGATTTAAAGTTCTTGTCTCTTCTGTCTTTTCCATCTGGTGAAATACTCATTTTTATTGAAGAAGGAAACAGAAATCCGACTAGATATGTTTAAATGGAAAGTTACTTTGTAAATAATGTTTTCTTTCTTTTCTTTTTCCCCAGAACAGCGATATGCTTGCTTGCCATAATTACTGGCACTGGGCTTTATACTTCATTGAAAAGGTATGAGATATTTTCATATAGGTGTTCCATGCTTCAGATAGGTCATTCATCTAATGCTTCCTTTTAAAAATGAAGGCCTAACATTTATAGTTTTTTTTTTCAGCTGTTTAAAGGGGTGTTTTTCTAAAATTAGCACAATGCCGTGTTTACAAGCTAGTTGTTATTACAGTTATTTTGAGAACTTTTAATTACATTGGTCAAAGTTCCAGGATCTTTGTTAGAATGTTGAAAAATTGCTGTGAGATTATTGCATGTTTGAAGATGAAATAGTCTCATTAATTACACTTGGCACAGTTATTTGATAGAAGGATTAACTTGGATCTCTGATTTTAAGCAAAAATCTCTTCAAATTCAGTATGAATTTGTTGGTCCCAAAATCTGACTAAAAGAAAGAGGCGGTAACTCTAAGTTTGGTCACGAATGTCATTATTTTTTAATGTTAGTAATTCTTATTGTTCAAACCCTTTAAAAAATGGTTGCAGTTTTACCCAACCTGTCAGGTTGCAATACAGAATTCCCTTGGATTTAATAATACTTAGCACTTGTGGGGTTCAGTTCATTAGGGAGACAAATGTGACAAGAGAAGGCAGTGTACTTTGGGTCAGAAAACAGTAACTTCCTTGTGGTCAGTATTATTAACATAGAAGGAGCATTATTCTTGATAGTAGTCTAGTACCCTGTTTATATTGCCACCTTCTATGTGTACAACATTTTTGTAGCCTTCTTAAAATTTATTTTTCTTCCTACCTTCTTGCATACACCATGGGATGCACTAACTTTTTGCAAAAATCCCTGAAAGGAACATTAAAATGAGAGGTAATACCTTGTCTTTTTCCTTCATGTGTACCTAGTGTTAAATGAAACCTAATTGTACTGAATATTTTGCCTAGTAAATCCTGGTTTATCTCAGACTTCAGTCTTTCTTTTAATACCTTGGTTTGTTTTGATGAAGTCATGAGGTGGTTATGAGGTAGTATTATGACATTATTAATTGTATGTATGTCTTTTGGTTGCTACCAGTCACTTCTAGTTACTGTATCTGACTGTTAATCATGCAGTGCTTCTTTGCTTTCACAGGGTGAATATGAGGCTGCTTTGACAATTTATGACAATCATGTGAGTAGGGCCTTTTTCTTCTTTACCGAGAACTAGCTTAAAACTGTGATATGTGCTTTCTTCCTTCTGTATGAGACTGAAACCTATTACAGAGTGTCGTATATGTTTGTATATTGTTTACATCTGTTGTTACAGATTTTAAGGGAAAGTATTTCTGAGTGGTTTTGGGTAAAATGCCCAAAAGACTCTCATGTAGTTCAAGTGTTTCTTACACTTGTGCTTGAAAGAGCTACAATGGCAATGTTGGTACTGTTTGTTTTCCTATAAGGTCTCAATGTGCCTTTACAAAGAACTGAATTTTGCATGTATGGCACTAAGTCAGCAGAAGCATATCTTTTCTTTCCTGGCTAATTTATTATAGTTCTTCACTGTCTAGATTTCAAGGCAATCTTTGTAAATAAGCAATATCAAACTCTAGGATAACGTGTCTTTGTAAGGGTTATAAAAATAGGGAAGCTATAGAATAGAAATACATAGAATAGAAAGCTGCTGGGCTGTCCTGTCTACTAACCTTGCCAAAGTGAAGTAATACTTACGGCATTTTTTTTTTTTAAAAATGGGATGCCTTGGTGACTCTCCATACTTACTGAGTTTGACTTCATAACAGGAAAAAAAAACAGCACAAATGAAGCAGCATGTTTGTCACTGCAAATTGCTGTATTCAGGAAGGATGCAATTAGGGCTATTGCAAAACAGGTATTTTTCAATGCATAAAAAGATAATACTGTACTGTGAAAACAAGTTTGATTATCTGACTAAGTTCCCACTAGCACATCAGTTGGGCAGCTTATGAATATCTGTGATTACAGATTGCTCCTCGGTGTCTGTCAAGTGGAAGTATGCTGGATATAGTAGATAACTGTTCAATGCTGTACAGGCTTCATCTGGAAGGTAGGATATCCACCTGCCATTTTTTTTTTTTTAGAGCTGTAATTTCTCCCCTTCGCCTGCCTTGCATTTTTAAGAAGTATTGAAATACACTTAATAGAGTGAGCTTGGTCAGTGTTACAGAGGAATTCTGTTACAGAAGAAAATTCTGCTCTTGCAAAAAGCCTGAATGTGAAATTCATAATGTCTGTAACCTTTGTTCTTCCCAAGAGCTTCTTTTTTTTCCGCCATGCCACTATGGTGTATCATTCAGCTCAAGCTAGCATAGGTCACATAGTTTTTCCTTGAAAAATTCACTTCAATTGTCCCTGGAGATTGGAGGCTGAATGATCAAGTACATAATCATCTAAAAATCTCTAGAGCTTCCTTGAAGTAAATGTCATGCTAGATGCTTAACCTCCTATTTTGATACTGATTGAAATTGCTAGTATGTATGAATTATCCTCTGGCTTTTGTGTACCCTGCTAACTCAGTGGCATTTCTCCTTTACTTTTTTTAAGCTAGTGTTTATACACTAGAGTTCATGAAGGGGAGGGGATGACAGGCAGATGGACATTTACAGTATTCTGCTAAAGCATTAACGATACATTGGCTTTGCTTATGAAATCCATCTTGTCACTCTGTTCTTTTGATTGCTACAGATGCTTCACTGGAACCTCATCTCCAAGAAGACATAGAATTGTAGAGTCATACAATAGTTAGGGTTGGAAAGAACCTTAAGATCATCAAGTTCCAACCCCCCTGCCATGGGCAGGGATGCCTTGCACTAAACCATGTCGCCCAAGGCTCTGTCCAACCTGGTCTTGAGCACTGCCAGGGATGGAGCATTCACAACTTCCTTAGGCAGCCTGCTCCAGTGCCTCACCACTCTCACAGTAAAAAACTTCTTCCTTATATCTAATCTAAACTTCCCCTGTTTAAGTTTGAACCCATTACCCCTTGTCCTACCACTGCAGTCCCTAATGAAGAGACCCACCCCAGCATCCTTACAGGCCCCCTTCAGATACTGGAAGGCTGCTATGAGGTCTCCATGCAGCCTTCTCTTCTCCAGGCTGAACAGCTCCAACTTTCTTAGCGTGTCTTCCTACAGGAGGTGCTCCAGTCCCCTGATCATCCTCGTGGCCCTCCTCTGGACTTGTCCCAACAGTTCCATGTCCTTTTTATGTTGAGGACACCAGAAATGTACACAAGAGCAGTGCCATAATAAAGCCAGAACCTCACATAATGCAGTCTAGAATATTTGTGATAAATTACTGATAGTCGGTAAACTCTGCCCAAATACTGCATGCTGCAGCTGAGCATTACTGTATACACTTTGCCATTTTACCATTTCTTGAGTTTAGTAGAAATGCTGTTTATGCTGAGTGGCTGAAAGTATATTGCAAAGTCATGCTTTTGTGTGTAGTATTTTTACTGAGACAAACACTTTTTACTCTTAGGTGTAAAGCTTGGAGACAGGTGGAGCAATGTTCTCCAGCTGACAAAGAAGCACAGCAGAGATCACGTTCTTCTGTTCAATGATGTACATTTCTTGATGTCCTCACTTGGAGCCAAAGACCACAAAACTACTGATGAGCTTTTAACAACTCTTCAGGAGCTTGCCAAGTAAGCAAGTGAATGGAAGTATTGTATTTAATTATTTTATCCTCTATTTAACTGTTTTATCCTCTGATAATGTCTCTGGCTTTGCTTTGTAAAGCAAAGCACTACAGCATGCTCTTTGCTCTAGCATGTCACTGGAACATGTCTGGTTCAAGCAGGTCAGTCTCCAGTTGGGAGATCCCTGTAATTATTCATTTTTTGAGTTAATGTCTAGAGGGGTTTCTTACCTTGCTAAGCAGAGATCTCTTATACTTGAAGTCATGGACACCAACTGAACAGTTGCTATCTGTTCCCTTTCAGTGGGTTCACATTAAGCTATGTTACGTACAATGAACAAAGTATTTCACCTCTATATTAGTAAGGGTATTCAACAATGTACTTCAGCTGTCTATGGTGGTTCTTTTTTATGGCTCTGGTTTGAAAGGTTCTTTTATAATAGAACATTGGTAGTGATATTCTGGTACGTAGTGTTTGATGTGTGAGAAGTACCTCTGCAGGAAACTGAATTTCAAGTACTGCTAAAGTAAAAATAGAGAAGATTTTGCTTGCAAATTAAATTATTGGAAACATTTGAATATTTAAGTATTTCATCTAAACAATGTTATGTTTTTTTGTGTTCCCTTATGTATTAAATAACTGTAAATTGCCTAAAGTTTTTGAAGGGGTTGATATATATAGATGCTTTAAATGCAATTCCCTCTCCCCCATTTTACCTCTGTTTCATCATCTATTGCTTCACTTGCCTTCAAAAAGGAGGGAGAACTGAAATTGTCACTATTTGTTCCTGTAATACCCATCAATCAAAAGTAATAAAAAGTAAACATAATTTTAAAGAATAGTTACAAAACCAAGTAACTGTCAAATCAATCTTAAGCATGTCTGACTAAAGTAGAAAATGGTAAATATCTTTTATATAAGTACATAAATAGATGTAAGAATATATAAAGTATTAAAACTGCACATGCACACCGCTTCAGGGAAGCTTTAATAAACATATGCTACTTATCCTTACGCCCAGTGCTTCCTTTTGCTTGTATGTTGAGCCTTTCGTAGTAATTCAGCTGTACATTTTTAGCTGTAGGTGGAAGTACTATAAAGTTTAGTTTTATTATTTGAGGAAACAGACTGTGAGATGAAGGGATCATATAAAGATTAGGTTAGTGGAATAATTTATGTGTATCACAAGATGTAATAACTAAATTATAGCTAAGATGGGTTTTGTATGTGTTTCAAAAAGCAGTCATGAAACTTTGGCGCAAACAACAGTCATCCTTGGCTTTTCATTAATATTTTTCCCCAGCCTTTGCAATTTGAAGTTGACAAGAATTTTTTTGGTGAGGTATTTCCTGGCGCTCTCTGGTGGTTGCTGTCACGTGCTTACTTTTGGGGATAGAAATGTTACAGTTGATGCAGGGGATATGTTGTTCTTCATGAACCAACGCGTCAGATCACTTGAAAGAGGAAAAAGAAAGAATCTTCTATCTCTGTGCATTTTATCAGAGAGCTGGAACCTATGTTTAAGTGAAGAATTGTTTCATCATTTTCTTCATTAGCCATCTCAAACTAAAACAGGAAAGAAAAGCCAGTATCTTCAGAGCTAGCTAAAATCTATTGCTGTTCATGGGTGTAGAAGCAGTCTGTCATGGTTAGAATGAAAGAAACGTTGAGAGCTGTCAGGGGGAGTATAGTTCATATTAGAAAGATGGGGAGGCAGGCACTGTGCTGTGTGGCAAGCTCTTTGCAAGGACTGATGGCCACTTTTGGCGAGGTGAGGACAGTCAAAGAACTAGCAGCAGGATGTTCTGATCAGATCATTAGACGAGAAACTGTGTAGTTCTCACTTTTCTGACCAAAGCTGTTCATTGCAAAGGCAGGAGGGGTTGGGCTTGGGCCTGGGCCTGGGCCTTTTGCAGCTCTGTTCAGAAGAATGAAAACTGATTTCCTGGTGACTAACAAAAGGATGAAAGTAACATAGCCACAGCGAAAGATACAGAATCGTAGACTGTTTCACTTTAATGCAGGTTGTCTAAATGAAGTACCTGAAACATCAGGCTTTGTACAGTAAAATAAATCGTGTTTATGATGGAGTGACACTGAAATATGTGTATTCATAATTGACTTACAGGAGTTAAACACTTTCTCATTCTACAGAGCACCTTGTGAAGACCACGAGCTTTCCCTGGCACCTCATTTGGGGTTGCCACTGTGCCAGGCATTTGTAGAGTTTGAAAATGGAAATTGTGACAAAGCTGTAGACCTGCTGTACCCAATCCGTTATCAGCTGATCGAAGTAGGAGGCAGTAATGCTCAGGTAAAGAAGATCAGTAAGAGTTTCTGATGCTACTTAATTCTCTTTCAGTAGCCTCCGTTAGGCACTTGCATTATTAACAACCCTTCATTCTTAGAAAGTGAAAAGCTAAACTGTGCTTGTGACTAAATTCTGTTTGCAAACACTATCAGCAGTGTTGGCTGTTTATATTTTCTTGTTGATACCTTTCCTTCCTCAGTGGTTTTAATAATTTGGAAAACAAGACACTGTAACCAGCAGTACTTCGTAAGTTACTTACTACTCTGTATTTTTCAGAGAGATGTTTTCAGCCAGTTACTGATTCATGCAGCTCTAAATTCTAAATCACAAGCCAAACAAAACCTTGCAAGGTGAGTATTTTTCCTGCTAGATATTTGGGGAAGTAGCATTACTAAAAGTATGAAGCAGCAGGTATTCTTAAGCCAATAAATTAAGGTAAAATTGTGTCATGGAATGGTTTGGGTTGGAGGACCCTAAGATTATCTAGTTCCAACCCCCTGCCATGGCAGGGACACCTCCCACTAGGCCAGGTTGTTCAAAGCCCCTTCCAGCCTCTCCTTGAATGCTGCCAGATTTGGGACAGCCACAGCTTCTCTTGGCACAGGAGCATTTTTGTTAACTGCAGCAACATTTAACTAGGATAGCCAGTAACATAGCTTCCAATTCCAAAAGTACACTTGTGCAGTCTGGAGGAATGGTCTGTATTTGTTCAAGGGCAGTTGATTTTCAAATGGTTCTGTCTTAAAACGTGGCCTCCTGCCTGTTTGTCAGTGTACCTAATGGACTGCTAAACTTCTCTGTGAAGTGCTGAAAATCAGATCTGTCCTAATGATGACAGCTGCTGTATTGGGAAATAAGGTTTGCAGAGTCTGATGTGTGAGCTTGCCTTAGTATAAATCACAAGAGTCTCATTTGGTAGAAATCATAGGTGTTGCTGCTTCATCCACATGGAGTTCTGTTGTGTTGTCTTGATTGGGACTTCTTAAAATAATGGATCCTTGGGACAACGTGAAGCCTTCCCTGTTCTCCTCCTGAGGTCTCTTTGAAACTTAAAATTACATACAATAACGAAGTGATTCCTCTGTGCACTCTGATCTTTGGGTGTTCATTTTCAATCTCTCCCAGTGCTGAAAACAATGCCGAGAATTCTGCCTAAACTTACTGCCAAGGCCAACTATTTCCAACAGGGGAAACCTTCACCTCAAGAGCAGGTCTTTACATACTGTTTTCCTCCTCTTAACAAAGATACTGATGATGATCTCCCTGTTTCTCTCCTACCTCTTCTTTCTCAGGTGCCTCCTGAGAGAACGTGATGTGATGAGACCAAATTCACCGATGACAGAGCGACTTATTAGGAAGGCAGCAGCTGTTCACTCGATGGCATAGTCTTTCCTCTGTGCTTCAGCTAAATTGCAATACGCTTACCAATCAAAGTGTGGGTGAAGGGAGCGGCGGGGTGCTCTGCTATAAACCGTGGTAGACATTGATGGTAGGTAAGAGTACCTGAGGAGTCAGAGATCTGATGATGATTTCCTTCCAAAAAATACAGAGAGCTGTTTCAGGAAGTTGTATCTTACCTGATTCTACAAGGAAAGAGAAAGCTATCATGCTGATAATGCGTAGTTTTTGGAAGCATTCTAGGACACTGCTTTTCTGATATATTTTCCTGAAAGTTCCCTCTGACCTTGATTACATACAGTGCAGTAACAGGGCCTGGATTTGAGTCCTTCATTTGCCCAATTTGTTATGTCTTCTAAACATAGCTAATAGGAAAGTGTGGGGTCAGGGCCAATACAGGGATAAACCAAGTTCCATATCAGGCCTCCTCTCCATTCAGGCACAAGTTGCAGACTCTGTCCTAAAGATCTGTCTGCATTCAGGCTCTTCCCAGGTGTGTTTTGTTGAACTCCCTCTCATAAAATGTTTAACTTTCTCCTTTCAGTGTAACACCTCAGAGCTTTCTGATATTACTGTGTGAGTGAAACCAGACAAGAGGGATAGTAGCTGCCTGCAACTATTCCAACACAGGTACTCTCTTGGCACTTTTAAATCTTTCAGGGAAAAAAGAAAAAAGCTTGGATTTTAGCTCAACCACCATCTCTGGATGGCAGGTTGGACTTTTGGGAAGTCAGGCTTTACTACCCTCTCAAAAGCACAAGTCTCTACATGTTAGCAAAGCAGAGTTTAAAAACAGTGTTTATAGAGGTGTATCAGAGCAGGTGAAGACTGGAAGGGAGCTTCTGCCATAGAAAGAGAGCTAATGGGAGCCGACACAAAGCTTTGTGTGGCACAAGCAATGTGATAAGCTTTGGTGCTGCGAATGAGGCACGATGGGAGCCATGTACTTCTGTGACATTCTTGAGCCTCTGGATTCCTGCAGCATAGCAGAGCTAAGAGATTGTCCTGCAACAGTAACTCAGTACTCCCTCATGAAGGAAAAGATGATGTTTCAAACCAAAACTGAGCCTAATGCCTCCTCTTCTTCTTTCTCCTGAATAGACTCTTCAGCTGCCTGAGCTCTGGCTTTGATATTGCATCTACAAGCTCTCCTTCACACAAACATGCTTGTCCAGCTCAGGCTCTTCCCCATGCCCCACATACAGTTCCCTTTTGACCTAAAAAAACACTTCTATAGTTGGCCCTGCTCTGCCTCTGGAGGTCCTGCATAGAGAAACAAGATATGGATAGACAGATAACTTTTCCCTCAGGGAATATAAAGTCATTTTAGGGAAGACAAGTCTGAGAACTCTGCTAGCTCTTTGTGAAGTGTGTAATTGATGTGATGATCCATTGCTACACAAATTGAAGAATAACATTTGTAGTACTTTTGATATGTGATTGAGAATTTTGCCTGCTTTACATCAATAAATTCAAAGATGTGCTCAGCTGAGCAGCAAGTATATGACTTCTTTGCATGTATGGATGAAGCTTTAAATGGGTTATTCAGGTTCATTTCATAAACCTGTAACAGTTTGTAACTTCTCTGGACAACCTGTTCCAGTCTCTCACTGCCCTCACAGTAAAGAACTTTTTCCCAACATCTAATCTAAATCTGTCAGTTTAAAGCCATTCCCTCTTGTCCTTTCACTACAGGCCCTTGTAGAAAGCCCCTTTCCAGATTTCTTAGAGCAGCTTCAAGTGCCTAAAGGAGCCACAAGGTCTCCCCGGAGCCTTTTCCATGCTGAACAAGCCCAGCTCTCTCAGCCTGTCTTCATAGCCCAGATGCTCCAGCTCTCAGATAATCTCTGTGGCCTCCTCCAGATCTGGCTCCTACAGTTCCACAGCTCTCTTGTGTCGGGGGCCCCAGAGCTGGATGCAGGATTATAGGGATATAGATACATTTATTTACAAGGAATCCAACTAAACTACCACAGCACTTAGAATTTTAAAGTATCTTAAAAAAGTTCCTTTACAGAAACATCTTCCATGAATCAGACTGTACTCTATCCTTCCTGCTTAGCTAAGAATCTACACTAAAATGCTAACCTGCATCCTTGCAGTTCCCTGGTTTAGAAACATAGGGAAGACATAAGTTCACGTATGGAGAGAAACTGCACACTAATAAGCAAAAAGTGAGTGAAAACACATTTTATTTGCAAAGGCGGCAAAACTCAAATGATTCAAGAACTCTACAGAAAAACAAATGTGAAAGAGCTCTTCAAAAGTGGTAAAATCTTTTTAATACAATCCTGATGCATGTTTTCATTTAGTTCCAAGACAGCAGTCTTGGTTAGATTTCCTAGTTTTATACATTTCCCTGTCCTCTGGGTAATTTGCAAACTTTGAGTAGTACATGTAGTTGACAGATTAGTATTGAAGACATAAGTAAGTGGGAGGCTATTCATGTTACTGTAAAGCTTACTAAAAGCAAAAGTTACTGGTCTTCGATCTTCGGCAATGGTTCCCTCTTGACAGCTAGACTACCTGAAGCAGACATCTTTGTACAGAAGGTCTTCAGTTCTGTTAACTTACAAACTTCTTACTAAGATTCAGTAGAGACTCCACAAGTTTACATATTTTCTTTTGGGGACAATACAATGCATGTAACTTTGTAAGAAAAGGCATAACCACCATTGGTAGGGTTGTACATCGCTGATGGAGGCGAGGCATATTTATCACGTCAGACCCAGGGAAGCAATATCCAGGAGCACAACAGCTACAAAGAGGAGCTACGCTTGTCAGCAATGTGCCCCATGCAATGTGGGTAACAAAACACATCTTAGAACAGCAGCTCTACCACTGGCCTCCAGAGGACATAACTGGGTTCTTCCAGTCAGGTTGTATTTCTGGAAAAATGAAAATTAACACCTACAAGTAGGGCAGGAAATATCTCTGCTTCTTGAGATGTTTCTCCTGTCCCGTAGCATTTGCTAAGCAAACATTCACACTAAAAAAATAGGTGGCCACATTGACATGAGAGCCTGGCTCATTGAGACACAGCCTTTATATACTTAAGACCATTAGTTGCAGCCAAACCATCACATTTTAGTACCTACTTATTCATAGACTGGGATTTTCATAGTTTCACTTGAGCTCTATTTTTATACAGGTCATACAGCAAGTTACTGCAGATCTGCAAAGAGAATCTGAGCCAACCATTTTCTGATCCAAACAGTAGCTGCCATTGTACAGATGAAACTTGAGAATTTATGATACAGATTTAAAATAAGCTTTTGATGTTTTTGTCTTGCCATTTTAAACTTGAAACTTGTATCCGCATTAACAAGTGGTACTTTGAAAACTAAATCAAGTCATTCTAAGGTAGATTGACTTGTTTAGAATTGCAATAGACGAGAGGACCAAGAACAATTGTATTCTGCAATTGAAAGAATCTTTGATTACTAGAAACCTGGCATCTTGCTTACAAAGAGCTGTACCGTTAATTCTCTGAACTGAATTATTGGCAAAGAGAAATACTCTATATTTCTAAGAAAATACATTTACAATTATTTGCCCACAGAAGTGAAAACAATTTCCTGTCCCACAATTCTGATTCTTCTCCTACAGTTACCCAAATGTCTACACTTGATACAAGAGAGGAAAAGGAGAAGACAAGGCAATGTCTCAACTGTAACATCTGCTTTGCTAGTCCTCCTCAATACAGAAATTTCTTGGATTAGCATTCCAAAGATTCTAGTAAAAAGAAGTATACCAAGAAAAAGAAGTATTGCCAAGTATAGGAACACTTGCAGTACAGAAAATACGACAAGGGATACAAATAGCTCTGATCCCCTTAAGACACAATACATTTTTTTTCTTCCTCTGTGTACTCTATTGTAAACTCTGGATAAATCTGGTATTTTTCAAAGACAACAAAAATGGAGGGATTTGTCTGGTTGTCCACACAACTGTCATAAAACCGGAGCCCATCAACAGACTTTGTCGGGGGGCGCACATAGGCTGAATTGCCGTTAACGTAATCTCCAACCAACACACGAGCCACGAACATGATTTTGTTTTTCACCGTGAGCTCACAGTATGAGTGGGAATAGGAAGCGTCTCTAGCAAAGTAACTTCCTAGAAAATAATATGAAAATGTGGTTATAAGAAAAACGTATAAAGGCACAATAAAAACTGAGCATCCCCTTGTTTTTCAGGAGGTATTCAACCCAACCTTCAGGTCTCTTCTTACTCAGTTCACATAATCCCATAGAAATTTTTACAAGAGAAGAGATTTCCGCGCATGATTTTCACTTGGAATTTGCTATTACAGGAATTCGTGTTTTAAAAACGAAACCACTACAGGTGTGTGTTACAATGAGGAATAGATAAGAAAACACGATGACCTTCACAATCCTACTGAGGGAATGCATGCCCTTATTGCTCCCTGCTGTGAAGACTAGCAGCCTTCATGGCACTTCATGTGCTCAATAGCACAAAGCATCCACAAATTCCTGTCTGAGTTAACAGGAACTACCTAATGCTCTGTTAGAAGCGGGCACGCTGAGGCACACACGTGGCAGGCACACCAGCCAGAGCTGCGTACATAGCAAGTTAACTGAAGACCTTGTGGCTATTCATTTCTTCTAACCACACACATCTTCCTTTACTTGTGTCACAAAGTGTTACAAGTGTCATGGCACTTGTGTCACTTTGAACTCTTGCAAGTTCAAATTATGAACTTGAGCCTTCAGAAGATCCCACCTTACAGCAGCAGAGGCTTTTCCAAATCCCTAGACTCTTTCTCTTAACACCTTATGAAAAGCCTTAACCCTGCTCAAAGCAAATCCTTGTCCTCCCCAGAGGGAAGGAAGATCATAAAAATCACCTACTCCTTTTTTTTCCACCCTCTATAGCTCAAAACTTTGATTGCTGTAGTATCAGGGGAGTGTAAGCAGACATCTAACACACAGAATCATTTCCTACGTACCCTTCCCATAGACAGTTCCATTGCTTCCGCAGATTCTCCAGTCAAAATTGTGACTACAGATGGATTCCACAAAGGAGGTCTTGGTTCCATGGAAAAGGAGCTTTTCTTTTACTTCCTTCCCTCCGTTTTCCCTTTTCATCTGTTCCTTTTGCCTAACAGAAAAATACAGAGGAGAGCAAGTGAGCCATAGAATAAAAGGGAGAAAGTAATTTTTAAAAACAAGTGTATAATGTACATGTCGGTGTCAGCTAAATGAGATATATTGGGCTGAATCAAAAGAAGCGTGACCAGCAGGTTGAAGGAGGTGATTCTGCACCCTCTATCCTGCTCTTGCGAGACCTCACTTGGAGTATTGTGTACAGTTCTGGTGTCCTGAACATAAAAAGGACATGGAACTGTTGGAACAAGTCCAGAGGAGGCCATGAGGATGATCAGGGGACTGGAGCACCTCCCGTATGAAGACAGGCTGTGAAATCTGGGGCTGTTCAGCCTGGAGCAGAGAAGGCTGCGTGGAGACTTCATAGAAGGCTGCGTGGAGACTTCATAGCAGCCTTCCAGTATCTGAAGGGGGCCTGTAGGGATGCTGGGGAGGGACCCTTCATTAGGGACTGTAGTGACAGGACAAGGGGTAACAGGTTAAAACTTAAACAGGGGATATATCAGGTTAGATGAAAGGAAGAAGTTCTTTACTGAGAGTGCTGAGGAACTGGAGCAGGTTGCCCATGGAAGTGGTAAATGCTGCATCCCTGGCAGTGTTCAAGGTCAGGTTGGACAGAGCCTTGGGCAACATAGAATCATCATAGAATAGTTCGGGTGGAAAAGACCTTAAGATCACCCAGTTCCAAGCCCCCTGCCATGGGCAGGGACACCTCACACTAAACCATGACACGCAAAGCTCTGTCCAACCTGGCCTTGAACACCGCCAGGGATGCATGGTCTAGTGTAAGGTGTCCCTGCCCATGGCAAGGCAGTTGGAATTAGATGATCTTGAGGTCCTTTCCAATCCAAACCATTCTATGATTTTCTGTTTTCTCCTCTCTCAGTTTGGAAGATGAGACAGACGAGCAGCATGATGAACAAATACAAGATGAGCAATATAGTGGTACCACTGCCCAGCAGTTCTAGATAATCCTGGCTTCCTTTAGTGAATTTAAGGAAGTACTGACACTACTACTGTCCCCTGCACTGCTGTACCAACCTTTTGCTCCTCTGTAGGGTCCTACTAGTTCTGCTTTATTGTCTCATCCCATCCCACCCAGAACACTCTGCAGAGCAGAGGTACCCACAGACCCTCCATGCCCCAGCAGTAACTAGGAGCTAGAGGCAGCTTATTCTTTACTCCATACACCCTGAGCTCTTGCCCCTCTGTGAGATCAGTGTGGCTGAGGAGACAAAGCCAGGAGAGAAACTGAGCCTCCTTCCACCACTTGAGATTTTACTCATTTAGGCCAGAGTCAGACTGAGCTATGACACATATCAAAAGAGGAATCACAATGGAAGGCAAAAATATTTCACAGCAC